AATAAATTATTATTATTATTATTATTAATAAAATTCCCATCTTTTAATTTTTTCGGGACTAAGACCACAACAAGCACGCATGCTCAAAAGTTCGTCATTTTATGGCAAAGTTCTTAAAATTAATGGAGTTAAAATATTAACTGGATTTTTATATATATATTTATTAATTATATTTTAAATTCAACATGATAAATCAGTCATTAAGACGAACATTCTTATTTACAAAGAAAAACATTAAACTAAGATCTGGAAGATTAAAATGAAGTTCACTACATTACAACTATCATCGATTCCAGTAACTGACATGTTTGTCAAACTTCCCACCTTTGACCATCAGTTTAAATTTCTGTTTGACAATTTGTAGGCAGACTTAAATACAAGAGTTAGAGGTACTTAACCAGCTCTGTAATGGACGATAATAACTGGAATCTTCCTAGATGCTCAGGAAATGTAAGCCACGGTCCTCTTAACATTGTGTCAGTTGTAAATACTTGTATAATTATTATTTAAGAGGCCCAAAAGAGCTGATCCTTCCAGATCTGGGGGAGGATCGCCTAGAAGTCGCAGTGCTAGAATCACCCCAATAAACATCACAAGAAGTCCTACTTACATAGACGATGTGACGTTGAACGCCATGATCACTAGCGGGATGATGGAATCTCTGGGACCTGTGAATTTTGCGCAGGTACTTATTTTTTACCTTTTCGCATTTTCATTAAATGACATCGACGAGGGAAATAAAAATTCATTGATTTTTAAAATGTCAGCACTTTTAATAAGCGAAACAGAAATTTTAGTTATTCAATTGCCTTTCTAATACCTGTATGGTATGAATGATTTTAGTTTAGAGTCCCTTTGAGACCTGCGAGTGTATATCCCAATCCTCACGATTCCTTTGGGTCACAAATTGGTTACAATTTAAATTGGATACATAAACATTCAAGTGGGGCAGACCAAACGCAGGTAATTATTAATAATAACTGAATGAATTGATGTTTTAGTAATGCAGCTGCTCCAAATATGAAATGAATATCAATATAAAATACTTGCAACATATTCAATCGGAATATATCAGCTTAAGCCTACAGATTACTGTTTCATAAATCGTAGGATATTGGCGACAATAAAGATGATAACGATATTGACTTTAAACCTTTTTAACTGAATCGTGACATCTTTTAAAAATGAATAGAACATAATTCAGTACTAAGTTTGTCTTTTTGTCCAAATCTTTACAAATTCAGTTGTAATCTAATGATTTTAAGTATATTTTTGTATAAATGTACTGTTATCACAATAAAATAGGTAAATATATGTCTAGACGTAGGTCTTAAGAATAGTACTCCACTAAAACTTTCACTAAGGTATATTTGACGTTTATTGTCAAATTCCAAATTCATGTATAATCTATTCTACAATTTAGCGAAGTTTTAGGGCAAACCGTCTCTACCATCGAGGTTCAGAAAGTTCCAGCAAGACCCCAAGGAGACTCAGTTGATCGAAAACGAAGACGAACCTCCGAAGAAAGATCCCAGGTTCCTTCTCTCACAACTTGACATGGCGGACGACACCAACCCCGAGGTTGCGGAGGAAAAGAAAGAAACCATTTTGCAATGGTAAACCCTTAAATCTATGCTTCCGTTTTCCAATTTCTGATCGACAAACCATTAAAATCTACAATTTTTTAAATTGTCAGGTTTGACCGATCCGTGGAAAAGGAGCTTAGAATAAGGAAAGAGGCGACTGGGGGCGGACGAGGTCTCCAGAATGCTATACCAGGCGCGCCGAAGGACCTGGACATCTCCAAGACCTTGATGGACCAGATTTCTGAGGCTAGCGCTAGTCACATCGAGATCGCCTCCCAAATGCGCATGCAGCCGGACACCGAGCTCACGGAGGCGGTGGACAAGCTGGCTAAGGCAGAAGCTATGTGCGCCTTCGCGGGAGCTGTGAAGGCGGCAGAAGCCGCTGCTGAAGGTAAGTCGTTGGTCTCCTACAGATGCAATAGGCCAAAATGGAAATTGTGTTTTAATTTTGACATGGTCTGCTTCATAATTCACTTGGTTTACCTATCTATAAAATCAAGGGCGCTTTTTACCAAAAAAATTTCTTGGTGCAGGTTTTTTTACCGATACTGTACAGTCCCAATTTCCTCATTGCCATTTGTAAAAGAAAATTCAAACATTTTTCTAAAAAATCTTATTAAATTAAGTCTTCAATAGCAAAAATCTAGGTAAGTATGCAAAAGATGTCTAACCCTATACACAAGACTCTTAACTGTTGTTATTGTGACTCTATGAGCTGCATGCACCAACTAGAATTGAATTCTACTGGCAATATTTATTAAAATTGTCTAAAATAAAAATAAAAAATTATGCTAATTATTACCTGCCATACTGCAATCATCAATTATTGTAATCTTTCAAAGAAATATCTTATATTCTATTTGTTCTAACATCACCTTTGACAGATACCAACAAGTAAAAATAGTATAATTCAAGAATAAGACGGGAGTGCTTCGACCCCAACAATTATTCCTCACTTTCTTATTAATAGTGACATATCAAAGCTAGTCTACAATTTGACGCAACATTTGGGGGGTTTGAAATTTACATATGAAAATAGTAATAGGGCGCAAAATTCATTGAAATCCTAATGAAATGGTCTGCTACTGCTTTACAAATAAAGTGTGGGTTCAATGAAAATGTTTTAGAAATATCCAAGGACTTGATTGAATATTTTTATATTGGATTTACAATAAGAAAATGTATTCTCATGAAAATTATAGCACTCCATATTCAAATTTAAGCAGATCCGCTAGCTTTTCTGCGATCATGTAGCAGACAGCATTGAGATGCGACGACGTAGATAGTGGTATAACGCTTGCGTCAGCCACTCTCAACTTGCCGACACCATAAACCCTTAGTTGAGCATCTACAACATCTCCTTGGCTAGGATTGGGTCCCATCCTACAGGTGCCTACGGGATGGTTGTTATGACTGCTTATATATCTTAAGGCGCAGTACCAGTAGTCTTTTGACTTGAACTTGTATTTGTCCGAACAGGTTTCTATAGGTTTGGTCTCTAATTTGGCGTTTATATTTCTGAACGCCTTGGTTTCTATTAGTCTCAGAGCGAATTGTACTGCCTGATAAGCCGTTTCTAGATCTTTACCGTCGGGATCGGAAAGGCATTTAGGGTCTATCAGTGGGTAGTCGAAGGGACAGGCGGTTTTCAATCTAAGGGTACCAGTCGATTTTAAGTGTAAAAGGGAGGGGTACATGGTGAAAGAGCTTGAGCTGTCAACACCTTCGAATGTCTAGAATGTCTAGAAAAATAAAAACCTATCTCCAGGTCTTGGTAGTTTGGGATGATCTCAACATAAGTTTGGTAGTATCCGAGGGCTTGTTGGTTTAAGGTTTGGCTCAAAAGTCCAACACCAGCCATGTAATCTTTAATTTGTTCCCTTAAAGTCTGGACTGGCTCGCTGAGGGTTGCTCGAGAAGGCAATCCATTTATTTGGACGTGGTCGGATAGGGCGCTTCCTACCTCCAAATTTTGGACTACAGGAATACCTGAAATTTTAAAATATGTTATAAAAGATAATTCCTTTGGTACTTACTGATATTGAACTTTTTCAAGTATCAGAATAGTAAAAAAAATCGATAGTTGGAAATACTCGAGCGCGTCAGATTAAGATATGATGGGTTAATTACATTCTGAAAAGTGTGCATTTCAATAATCTGACGATTTGAGCGTGACGTAAGGCAGTCAGAAGGTCACAAAGTTGTAAAAAAAAAACGTCACCACGACATTCTCGAGCGCGGTCGATTTTTTTTTATTTTGAAGGAAATAATTCAAGGATANGGCTCGCTGAGGTTGCTCGAGAAGGTCAATCCATTTATTTGGACGTGGTCGGATAGGGCGCTTCCTACCTCCAAATTTTGGACTACAGGAATACCTGAAATTTTAAAATATGTTATAAAAGATAATTCCTTTGGTACTTACTGATATTGAACTTTTTGAAATTTGTATAAGTTCATTTCATTCGCAATTGTATTTCAAACTAAACGGGTCTTTTCCAATGTAAGTAAAACGAATTACTTTAGTAATTTTTTTAACTTTAACATCACACAGTTTAATAAATTTCTAAAACTGTTCGTTTTACAAAAAATGTATAAAAATTTGTTATCGAAAACACAATTTTAAATTCGGAAAAAATCAGTTTCACATAATCATGTGAGCCATGAGTTGAAACAAAATGAATGAATTGCGGTACATGGTATTAGAAATAAGCATCTTGTACTTTATAACTAAAAAAAATACGTAACATTTTTTCATATTTGAATTTGCCTTCACCGCGTTCAATTTCACATACCAAGTTCCTTGAGGTGTCCGGCTGGACCAATTCCAGAAAGCATCAACAGCTGCGGCGAGCTAATTGAACCCTGCGACACTATAACCTCCTTGGAAGCAAAGGCTTTGTACGCCCTTCCCTTATAACTGAAGATAACCCCTTCCGCCATCTTCAATTCATTGATTACTATTTTCATGACGAAGCTCTTAGTCAGCACCACCAGGTTGGATCTATCCAGCACTGGTTTCAAGAAAGCAGTACCACTGTCTTGCCTCTTCCCGTGCTTCACGTTGACCTGATAAGGACTGACGCCCGTGGCATTGAGTCCGTTGTACTCGATCTGATGGTGTCCTAGTTCTTCGTTGGCCTTGAAGAATACCTTGCACTGTTCAGCCCTCGGCAAAGGAAAATTAACATGAAGAGGCCCACCTACTCCATGGAAAGCCATGACGACCACCGCGTGTGGGTCGTTTTTTTGGAAGTTTTCCGATTTTTTGAAATACGGCAGCACGTCTTTGTAGCACCAACCGGGGTTGCCTTGAGCGCACCAAATGTCATAGTCGATTTTGTTACCGCGTGCGTACGTCAGGCCGTTGAGGAGGGAGGTTCCACCTACGCCCCTGCCCCTGGGATAGGGGCAACGCTCCTCTTTCATCCCTAAAAAGTAATAAAAAGTAAACGATACGAAAAAATCTCATACTGAGTTATGTCCAATCTTTTTACCGGATTATCGTGTAATAGTAGGGGAGCCCAAGAGGGGATTTTGGGAGTTACTCAAGCGCAGCAGATTAACATTGGGTTATACTTTGCACCTTGTTGAGTACCTCCACCATATCTAAGTCCTCTATATAAGGCCGAACGTGTAGGGCAGCCAATCAGAATAGTAAAAAAAATCGATAGTTGGAAATACTCGAGCGCGTCAGATTAAGATATGATGGGTTAATTACATGCTGAAAAGTGTGCATTTGAATAATCTGACGATTTGAGCGTGACGTAAGCCAGTCAGAAGGTCACAAAGTTGTAAAAAAAAAACGTCACCACGACATTCTCGAGCGCGGTCGATTTTTTTTTATTTTGAAGGAAATAATTCAAGGATAACGGGAAAAATATAATCTTACGATTTCCACAAGCCGAAGTAACAAAAATCGTTAATAAAATTTAGCGCGTGCAGCTGCAGGGAAATAAATGTTGTTTTGAAACTCCGTCAAGAAACTCCGGGAGGTGATTCTATGGATTAAAATAATAGCAGTATGTAATGAAAATTTTTTTCAAATTGTCAATTGTTTGCAAGTTACAGCTTATCGAAGTTCATTTTTTTAAATTTTTTATTTAAATAACTTATTTAATTCATGTTCGATTAGTCTCTCATTTGGCACACCCACTAAGTAGATGAAGCTCTATTGGACCACTCAGAGAAAAGTTTCATTATGCGCCGCTAGAGGGCACTACCTAGAACTCAAAATTTGTTTGGTTCTTAACTTTTTTCTCTTGCTAGACATAACAGAAATTTAAACATTATTGAAAAGAGAAACAATATCAGAAAAAAATATGTACTCTTTGTTCAAGCCGATAAATGTAACCGTTTACCAGGAAATCGCTATTCGTGTTATTCGTGTTATTAAACATCAAATTTTTGATCATTCTTTCTGTAATTATGTACAGGGTGTCCCGAAATTAATGCAACAAAACTTGGTCATAGATTCTTAAGACAAATTTAGGGGACCCGTATTTTTTATTTTTGCTAATAAAATGATAAAAAACTTAAAATTTCTTTTTTTAATAAGTTCTGTATAGGCTTTATATGTTGTTTAACTAATGTGTTATGACAGCAGAAATGGTTCTACAGTTCAGAGTATAATTTGTGCGAATGTATGTAGACTTGTATAATTTTATGTGCTGTGTTATTTTTGTTAAAATTGTTTTAATTGTTTTAGGATTTATACATTATACCTTTTTTAATAATAATATCAACTGTTTTATAGTTCAAATTTAAACTGAAAATTGACATACCACATTTGTACGAAT